TTGAAGCTCTCTTTCGTTTTTCCTGAAGAAGAATAGGGATAGCACCTCCTTGCGTGCGCAGATCGACTGCTGTTCATCAGCAGTTCGGGTTCGTTCAGTGCGGAGTTTTAGTTTTTAAAAATTTTAATGACCTCTCGCCTTTCATTTTAAAGTCAAATTAAACGAAGAAAACAATCACCCTTTCCTCCGGAAGAGGTTTTTTGTCAGCGTAACCATTTAAAAAAAGCATTCTTCCGAAATTCATTCAATGCTTTTTTTTTTTTTCATAAAAAAAAAAAGCATTCCTACGAAATTCATTCAAAAACTTGTGAAAAGAGGAGGAGCCGGAGTGTACGTACAGTTCCCAAATGGACGACGACAAGCAGAGGCAGTCCCAACAGGGCGACATTGTACAAACTACAGGGCAGAAACGGAGGCTCTAGTACATGCAGCAAACATCATCAAGAATGTGGTAGACCCCCAAAGCCAAGTAGTATTCCTAACAGATGCCATGTCAGTACTGCAGGCAATCACTTCTGGCAAACTACCAAGGCTACAAAAAGAAATTGAGGACATCCCATGTCTGAGGATCATGCTGCAGTGGATTCCATCACACTGTGGTGTCTTGGGAAATGAGCAGGCAGACAGGATGGCCAAACTAGGAGCACAGAAAGAGCAACCAGACAACAGCGTTAACTACACAGAAATAAAAACTATTATAAGTACACTATTTAAAGCACCTCAGACACCAGATGGCTACCATGAGCTGTCCCGCCAAGAACAAGTGATTATCTTCAGACTAAGGACACAACACACAAGACTGAGACAGCATATGTACAAATGTTTTAAACTAGTACAATCACCAAAATGCCAGTGTGGAGAGGCGGACCAAACTGTTGAACACATCCTTCAGCACTGCAAGACACACAGGGCCCTGAGACAGGAAACGTGGCCAACCCCACTGACGCTACAAGAGAAGCTATATGGGCCGCCAGATGAACTGACTAGGACGGCCCAATTTATGACAGATACCGGACTTCAAGTGTGATGCGATCGAGAAGAAGAAGAAGAAGATTCAAAAACTTGCTAGTTTCACTTTGATTTTTTAAACTCAAGTAGGATAACTCTGTTCGCTAAAGGTGCGCTTTTGCGAAGAGGGCGCCACCGAATTTTGAGGACACTTTTTTAATTGGCTCAAAGAGAGAAGTGGCCCCTCTTGTTATGTAGACTCTTTGTCACAAACCAAACAAGCTAGCCTGCCGGCACGTGATTGGCTGCCTAAAACTAAATAAGTTACCATGGAGTCCATTGCGGGTTTTCCCTATGCTGCTTTGTTAAGTTGTAGAGGGGGTGATCGGAGAACAGAACAGCGCTGATTCTTTTAAGATCAAAGTTATTCATTTTTGTAACAGGGGCAGTAAATTCAACGAATTTCTATCCAGTATATTCAAAATTAGACCAAAGTAGTTTTTAAGCAAAGATGTGTTGAAAACTTATGAAGTTTTGTAATGCCCTGCAAGTTTGTGCCCCCCATCGATGGCAGTCAAGTAATGTCGCTCAATTACCAACAAATGTTCACGCAAATATAAGTCTTCAAGATCAAAAGTAATAAAGGCATCGAAAAAGTGATAGCACAACTAGATTCTGCACTAAATATAACATTAAGATGCCAAGTTTCATTCATATACTCTAATTCATTACTGACTTATGAACTGTTTTCCCTCAAAATAGATTTAAAAAACGTCCCACTCTGTGGTCATATTTTCTTATATATAAAAGTCCTCCAAAACTTTCAAACAAAAAAGCCCCAAAACTCAACAAATTTATCAAAGAATTTTTCAAATTAAAAACCACAGGTCTAGGAATTTACTATTCTTTCATTTAAGCTTCCTTTAAAGATATCTGGATTAAAATTTAATTTGTCATTTTCATTGCTAACAAATGTTCCAGGCATACCACGTGAACAATTCTTCTGCGATGAGGTTCTAGAAGGTGTTTGTTCTTCATCCGACTCCATGATTGGTAACGTACGTCTCTTTTTCTTCCGTGGCATGACGCCATCAAGTGGGTCATCCTGAAGAAAAAAATAACCTAAATTAAAAACAATCTGTTCTGTTTTAGTTTTAGTAAAAGTTTTACGGCACTTGCAACACAATAAGGTCATATAAGTGCTGAAGAATAGATTATGTGTTACAAGAGTAACATACACAAAAAAGAAGGAGGGCAGATAAGGATGACATGTTTGATAGGAAAGAAGGAGCAAACCACACCAGAGCACCCGCCAACCACCCACATCTGTTCTGTAAATATGTAAAAGCTACTCTATCCACAATTAGACTTGGTTCATACGAATTTAATGGAACGTATTATCAAAATATGTTAAACTCACATGCCTTACAGGATAAAACCCCAATCGCAATAACTACCTTTTCTCAAAAAGAAATGCAACTTTGCTTGGCATAAAAACAATAAACATTTCTTTTACTTCACCATCATCATGGCATGCTCGATCTAAAACAGACATCAGTGTTCATAGTTTGCAACTAATTTCACTGCTTGGATATTCTTAAAAACAAACCCCCCTCTTTCCTGGTCTTTCCCTATCACACATTTTGTCCCGTTCAAGCTCTTTAGGTAAGTTGTTCTTGGTTTACACCTTCCTCTTTTGCCTTCTATTTATCCAGTGAAAGCAAAAGATTTAATTTAAGGTCTTTATCAGACTTGCCTACTTTGAAATGTGAAAATTAGAAACAATTAGCATTTTTTTTCTGTAACAAAATGGTGAAATTCCGTAACATAGTCTACCCAAACTAGCACGTTTAGAAGCTGAAAAAACCCACACCAGCTTAAAATCACAATTGTCAATAACTATTTGTGACTTGTATTTTCACATTTGTATTCATTGATCAAATACCCTGTTTAAATATCTAGATCTAGATTTCTACGTAAAAACAATTGAATCACACAATGCTGTTTAACTTTGTTCACTTCAAATTACTATCGCTGTTGTGACTTGCGTGATAGCCTTTTGCTTTGTTTTCATTTTCAACATCACCCTTGACCTCTGGCCATTGACAAGGTCCTAGTCACTTTTAAAATATTTGACTTTAACGGAAAACGAACCATAAGTCGCAGGCAGCGTGCGTGTCACTTCGCGAGCCCACAAGGCCCCTGGGCTAGGGCTTTCCTGCAGAGAGTGAAAGTATAGCTGCTTCGCGCCCTCAGTCTGGCGAGCAAACCGCCCCGACCAGACCCGATCCCCCAATGGGCACCCTGTATTAGCAGCGTTTACTAAGGATTAAGACTGTTACCTGGGTTCGAAGTTGTGCTCCCCAGCTACCTGACCATAATTTTTTTTTCATTTTTTTTTTCAAAAGGATGAAGTTTTCCATAACATATTTCAGCTTTCCGCAACCGATGTTATTTTTCCGTAACAGTTACAGATTATCCGTTAGAGTAGGCAAGTCTACTTTATGTTTATTTAAATGTCCCAGCAACTGCATGTATCTCTTCTTAATTGTTTTTAATGGAGAGTGATTCACTCTGGCTTCTTTCAGCATGACCTCATTTGGTTTCTTTTCCTTTCATGAAATTCGCAACAGTCTCCAAAGAAACGATGTTTCCGTTGCATCAAGTTTATTTTTACTATCTTTGATAATCGTCCAGTACTCATAACCGTATCGAAGGGTTGAAAATGCATAGCTTTTTAAAACTCTTTATTTTACTCGTCATTGACATGTTTATGATTTTGAGGATCAGACTCATTTTCTTGAAACTGTCATTAGCCATTTCAATTCCATGTTTTGTTTCTGAGGTACTTTTGACATTGGATGTAGTGATACACATTATTAAAATCTAATGTAAGAAATGATCAAATAAAATTTATCTGAGGCTATATCTGAGGAACTGGTGTACAGGAAACCATATGTCAGCAAACCTTGTCAGGAGTGTCTGGGATGACATCAGGAATCGACGTTTCCTCCTGTTCAAAAAAAAAAAGGGGGGGGGGGGGAGGGAACAACATAGTATATATTAAATCACATCATAAGAAACAAATTACTTCTGACGATAGAAAATTCCTGCATAGGTACCTTAGCAGAATAAAATAATGCAAAGATCCTTCTTTTTACGAATGTACTTGAAGAAAGCAAGCAGGTAAAACTTTGATATGCCGTTACTAGAAAACTACTGCTGGTTGTCACTTTGTTGACAATGATCAGTTTTGGTTTCAGTAAAAGTTTTACAGCACTTGTTACACAAAAAGGTAATATAAGTACCAAAGATTACAGGTGTTACATGAGACTAACATATTATAAAGAAAAGAAGGGTGAGAAACAAGAATGCTGGGTGTTTATTTTTAAAAAAGGAGTAAAATACATTAGAGTGCCTGCAAACCACCCAAATTAATGATGAACAAACATTTTTTCAGTGATAATTTGTTCTAAAAAATATTGAATGGATAGTCATGCTAAAGCCTCCATTACATTCACATATCAAGCCATCAGAGCTTTCGTTTTGTCTGGCAAGTGCATTTCTTTAATCTTCTTCACCAGCAAAGAAACAATTCAATAAGATAGCCAGGTGCTAAATCATCATCTACTGCCCACTGTAGCTAAACGATGTAATCTATTCCACATTCAGCACAGTAATCAATAATCTCCACTTTCATTCTTCTGACGTTTATCTAACTGGGTCAATGTTACCAACTTTTTGGTATAAAAAAAAAAGGGGGGGGGGGGGGCTG